TGGGGGAGGGGGAGGCCCCCGGGCGGCCCCTGCCCTTGGGCTCCCGGCCACCCGCTCCCCGCCAGGGCGGAGAGACCTCGTCAGGCACCAGTGGGGCGAGCCTGGACCCCGGGTCCCTGCTGCCCTCGGCGCGGCATGCGACGCTCGTGGCGGGACGCAGGGAGAGAGGCTGGGGAAGGGACGGAAGGAGGGACAGGGGGCGTGACGGCGTGTTGGGAAGCCCCCGACCCTGCACCACCCTCCACAGCCGGATGTGACTCTCCGGCAAAGACACAAAACGAGCTCAAACTATCCACAGGCAGAAAGGGGAACAAGCCGAAATTCTATAAATACATTAGAAGCAAGAGGAAGACCAAGGACAGGGTAGCCCACTGGTCAGTGAGGAGGGAGAAACAGTAACAGGAAACTTGGAAGTGGCAGAGATGCTCAATGACTCCTTTGTTTCGGTCTTCACCGAGAAGCCTGATGAAGGAATGCCTGGCGGAGTGAATGCGAGAGGGAAGGGGGGAGGTTTAGAAGATAAAATAAAAGAACAAGTTAAAAATCACTTAGAAAAGTGAGATGTCTGCAAGTCACCAGGGCCTGATGAAATGCCTCCTAGAATACTCTATCGGCTCACCACACATCCTAGGAGTCTTGTGAGCGGATAGAGGAGGTAGCTGAGCCTTTAGCGATCATCTTTGGAAAATCATGGCAGACAGGGGAGATTCCAGAGGACTGGAAAAGGACAAATTTAGTGCCCATCTATAAAAAGGGAAATAAAACCCAGGAAACTACAGACCAGTCAGTTTAACCTCTGTGCCAGGGAAGATAATGGAGCAAGTAATTAAGGAAATCGTCTGCAAACACTTGGAAGATAATAAGGTGACAGGGAACAGCCAGCATGGGTTTGTAAAGAACAAATCATGTCAAACTAATCTGATAGCTTTCTTTAATAGGATAACGAGTCTTGTGGCTAAGGGAGAAGCAGTGGATGTGGGATACCTAGACTTTAGTAAGGCATTTAATACGATCTCACATTATATTTTTATCAATAAACTAGGCAAATACAACTTAGATGAGGCTACTATAAGGTGGGTGCATAACTGGCTGGATAACCGTACTCAGAGAGTAGTTATTAATGGTTCGCAATCCTGCTGGAAAGGTATAACAAGTGGGGTTCCGCCGGGGTCTGTTTTGGGACCGGTTCTCTTCAATATCTTCATCGACGAGTTAGATATTGGAATAGACAGGACGCTTATTAAGTTTGCAGATGATCCCAAGCTGGGAGGGGCTGCGACTAATCTGGAGGATGGGTCATAATTCAAAATGACCTGGACAAATTGGAGAAATGGTCGGAGGTAAACAAGATGAAGTTGAATAAAGACAAATGCAAAAAGCTCCACTTAGGAACAATCAGTTTCACACACACAGAATGGGCAGCGACTGTCTAGGAAGGAGTACGGCAGAAAGGGATCTAGGGGTCAGAGTAGACCACAAGCTAAGTATGAGTCAGCAGTGTGATGCTGTTGCAAAAAAAGCAAATATGATTCTGGGCTGCATTAACAGGTGTCTTGTGAGCAAGACACGAGAAGTCGTTCTTCCGCTCTGCTCTGCGCTGGTTAGGCCTCAGTTGGAGGATCGTGTCCAGTTCTGGGCACCGCATTTCAAGAAAGATGTGGAGAAACTGGAGAAGATCCAGGGAAGAGCAACAAGAATGATGAAAGGTCGAGAGAACATGACCTATGAAGGAGGCTGAAAGAATTGGGCTTGTTCAGTTTGGAACAGAGAAGACTGAGGGGGGACATGAGAGCGGTTTCCAGGTATCTAAGGAGGAGGGAGAAAACTTATTCTTCCTGGCCTCTGAGGATAGAACAAGAAGCAAGGGGCTTAAACTGCAGCCAGGGAGGTTGAGGTTGGACATTAGGAAAAACTTCCTGCCCTGCCAGGGGGGTGAAACATTGGGATAAATTGCCCAGGGAGGTTGTGGAATCCCCATCTCTGGAGATATTGAAGAGCAGGTTAGAGAAATGTCTCTCAGGGATGGTCTAGACAGTGCTGGGTCCTGCCATGGGGGCAGGGGACTGGATTCGATGCCTCTTGAGCTCCCGTCCAGTCCTGGTGTCCTAGGATTGTAGGATTCCACCAGCCAGCAGAGTTGAAGGGTTACTTGCTTCTCAGATCCAGCGCAGCCTTGACACGGACACAGGAGCCAGGGCAGAGCCTAGTCCTCTTGGGGGAAAGGGGTTCCCAGGCCCCTGAACCCCCCTGTTCTGGACTTAGTCTGCTCTCCTCATGCTGCCCTCCACCCAGACTGCCCAGCTCCCAGGCCCTGCCCCTCAGCCAGGCGTCCGTCTCCCCCTTCCTCCCTTTGTCTCTCCCCTGGGAAGAGCCTTGTTACCTGCCCAGGCTGGGCCTGGGTGTCTGGGCCAATCCACACGTGGGGGAGTCAGAGGGAATCACCCGGCGCAGCCAGGTGGGGACCCCAGGTTACAGAGCAGACAGCCCCCCCAGGACGTCAAAGGGGGTCGCTGCAGGACGGGGAAAATGGGGGGACGCCGCAGGGAGTAGGGACGGGAGGACACCACGGGCCGGGGGGATGCTGAGGGACAGGGGGATGCTGCAGGGCGGAGGGAAGCCATGGGTCTGGGGGAGGCTGTGGGGCGGAGGGACGGGGAACACAGGCCGAGCCGGCAGCCCCCGTACCCGGGCCTCCCGGCGGCGCCGCTCTGGCCGGC